TAAAAATTTATTTTCTGTTGGTCATTTCTGTTTTGATAACTCTATTTATTTTAAATTTTACTCTTCTTATTTTCTTATGAAGGATCTTCACACAAAGCAAGTTCTACTTCAAGGTCCAACTAAGAATTTTCTCTTCCCCGCACCGTCTTCTTCACTAGAAGCTAATTTTAGAGTCAAAACATCCCTTGATCAGTGGCATGCTAGACTTGGTCATCCAGTTTATAGGATTGTGTGACAAGTGTTGGCTGAACATTCTCTTCCTCTTACATCATCTTCTCAGTCTTCTTTATGTTCTGGTTGTAATAAATTAAAGAGTCATGTACTTCCCTATCCCTCATCCCCCCATCGTTCCCTTTCTCCTTTATTTCTTATTTTTAGTGATGTATGGGGCCCTGCCCCAGTATTGTCTATATCTAGTTATCGTTATTATGTATGTTTTATGGACGATTATACAAAGTTTACATGGTTTTATCCTCTTCGATTAAAATATGATGTTACTATAGCTTTTTTAAATTTTAAACAGACTATTGAAAATCTCTTTCATACTAAAATAAATTTTCTTCAAACAGATGGGGGTGGTGAATTTCAAGCTCTACATAAAATTCTTCAATCTAATGGTATTATTCATCGTATAACTTGCCCATATTCTCACCCACAAAATGGCTCTGTGGAACGTAAGCATAGACACATTGAGTCTAGTCTTGCACTCCTTAATCATGCTTTCTTACCTTTAAAATTTTAGGCTCATACCTCTGCTTCAGCTGTCTATCTAATTAATCGCCTTTCCTTTCCTTCTCTCCATCACAAATCTCCATATCAACTGTTATTTAATCATTTCCCAGATTACTCTTTTCTAAAAGTCTTTAAGTGCTCTTGTTGGCCTCATTTACGGTCTTACACTCATAATAAGCTGGAACCTCGATCAACTTTATGCATTTTTTTAGGTTATGTTACTGATTATCATGGGTATTTATGTTTTGAGCTCAAGTCTAGTAAAATTTTTATTTCCTGAAATGTTGTTTTTACTGAAAATTAATTTCTTGCAGCCCATTTATTTTCTCCATCCACTGCTCCTACTTTTCGGCCTGAAACTCACACCTTATTACCTAACTTTTCGATTCAGCCCAGCCCATTATCTAGTGCTCCACCCGTCTTTCCTTCCCTACCCGTATCTAATCCCCACTTTTCTCTTCCAGCTTCTCATGCCTTTACTAATTCTATCGGCTCCACTCCTTCTCTCTCCTCTGCGTCACTCGCAACGCTGCCTCCACCCTCTACTCTGCCATCATGGATGGTCACTCGGTCCTAGACCCACTCTTTTCAGCCCAGACAATATACGAATGGTACGATTCCCTAGCCACCCCCTCGTGCTCTTACCACCTTTCTCGACACGCCTCTGGATGCTCCTACCTTTATCACTGCTGCTATGAAATTTCCTGAATGGCATGCTGCCATGAGTGAAGAACTTCAGGCTTTACTTGCCAATAATACCTGGCGCCTTGTTCCCCCTTCTCTTTCTCAAAATGTTATGGGTTATAAATAGGTTCTTCAGAAGAAATTTAAAGCAGACGACACCCTTGATCGGTATAAAGCCCATCTAGTTGCAAAAGGATTTCATCAAGCCTCAAGTATTGACTTTCATGAAACCTTTTCTCTTATTGTGAAACTTACTACTATTCGTCTCTTGCTCTCTATGGCTGTCTCTTTTGGTTGGTCCATATGACAAATTGACATTCAAAATGCATTTCTTCATGGACATTTGGAAGAAGATGTTTATATGTCTCAACCTCTGGGCTTTCGAAATGTAGCATTTCCTCATCATGTTTGCAAGTTGCAATGTTCCATCTATGGTCTCAAACAAGCACAACATGCTTGGTTCTTGAAACTAAGTTCTTGTCTTACTCAATTGGGTTTTGTTCCCTCTAAGGCTGATGCATCTTTGTTTATCAAGCATTCTGCCTCTTCTACCCTTTATATTCTGGTTTATGTTGATGACATTTTAGTGGTTCATTCTGATTCTAATGGTGTTCAACACTTGATTACTACTCTCAACAAGTTCTTTCTTGTCAAGGATATAGGTCTGTTATATTATTTCTTAAGGATTGAGTGTTCATTTACCTCAATTGGATTATTTTTGTTCCAAAGAAAATATATCTCAGACTTACTTAAGAGAACAAATATGATGAATTATCATTCTAAGCATACTCCTATGTTAGTTAAGGCACATTTATCTACATATGTTGGCACTCCTCTCTCTGATGGAGAAGTTTTTTGAAGTATTGTTAGTAGCCTTCAATATTTATCTTTCACCAGGACAGATATTTCCTTTGCTGTGAATAAAGTGTGTCAATTTCTTCATAATCCTTTGGACACTCATTGGAAAGCTGTTAAGCGGATCCTGCATTATCTCAGTAATACTATTAATTTTGGTCTTACTATCACTAAAAGTTCCATTTCTTCTTTAGTTGCTTATACTAACATTGAGTCTTCAGAGTCACTAGTTGCTTATTTTAATGCTGATTGGGGTGGTTGCCTTGATGATCGAAGGTCCACTAGTGGTTATTGTGTATTCTTTGGCCCTAATTTAATTTCTTGGAGTTCTAGAAAACAATCTGCTGTTGCTAAGTCCTCTACTGAAGCTAAATATAAGGCTCTTGCTTTAGCTACTTGTGATTTGATTTGGTTACAAAATCTTCTGGGTGAACTTGGTATTTTCTACCTAATCCTCTTACTCTATGCTGTGACAATATTGGTGCTACTTATCTAGCTACAAATCTTGTTATGCATGCTCGAACAAAACATATCGAATTAGATTATCACTTTGTTTGAGAACATGTAGTTGTCAAGACACTTAACATTGCTATAGTCTCTTTAAATGATCAATTAGCTAACTTATTTATCAAGCCTTTGGATGCTTTGTATTTTACCTGTTTATGATCAAGTTTCACTATTGGTTCACCACTACTCAACTTAAGGGGGGTTGTTGGAGCATGTACTCAAACTCAATCCACTAAGACTAAGTCATGACCCATTAAACCTGATGCTATCATATAGTTTGGACTCATCATTATTGTCTACTATTTTAAGGCTTACATGTCTTGTCTTTTATCTTTTATTCTTATCCTTTATCACACATGTAACATGCTGTACTATCTCTTGCATCTATAAATATAATATTATATACAGTAATTTGTAAGGTAAATGATTTCGGTTTATTAACTTTTTAATATTCTGGCTTTATACCTCTTTAAAGAGAATGTGGAAGACCGAGACAGTAAAGTGAAATAAATAAGAAAAGAAAACATAGCATTGGGTGAAGGTGGGTGATAGCAGTTAAAAGGACAGTACGTCAAAGAGGCCACTTAATATACTTCCTTCTCCTTTTTTAATGCTTTGATAGTGACACTTCTTTGTAGGTAACCCAGAAATTCACTCACATTCCTTCTTTTCCCTCTTCATAATTGCTGCTACTGCAATTTTAGAGGGAAAATCTAATTATCGATCTTATAATTTTAGTAGATTTTATTTTTAATTTTTACAGATTTTTTAGTATTTTTAATCATTCACGAAATTATATAAATTTAAGCAACAAATGTTACCTAATCTCATTAATATTATAGAGGCTGAAAATATTAAAAAATATAAAAAATAAAAATAAAATCTAATAAAATTATTACAATTAACGATTGTGTTTTTCCAATTTTTTGGATACATAAAATTTTACATACAGGATTACAACATAGTACTATCATTAACTATTAAATGATAATACACTGTACCTGCCTTTTTAAATAAATTCGATTCTTTTTTAATGTAAAGCCAAATGTATTGTTTAGCAATATAATCGCGCGTCTGTTATTTTGGCATCTCAATTTTATTTTTATTCTATCACCTCTGGTAGTTTTAAAAACTCAGGGTATTATATCCAAATTAATTCAAACCCCGACTATATGAGATATTTAATATCGATGATAGTTTCAAAGGTATCTTGAAGATAATCTTGACTTATTTATTCAGTATGATAACATAGTCCTAGACTTAAAAATCAACATTCAAAAATAAATTAATTTAACTCTAAGGTTTAATTGAACCAAGCTTGGCTGTGCCCTCAAATTTCTGTCAAAGCCTGGAAAGAGACAATTATTTTACTCACCAGTCGATTTGGCCTCCCGTTTGCATTTTTTTTATCAAGCACGGAGGTCAATACGTCCTGTTTGACCCCTTTTATAAATACTTTTTTCTAAACAATTTTGTAAGTGCACAATGGTATCTTGCAATCCATGTAGCCGACCCCACCTAGTGGGATAAAGGCTTGTTGTTGTTGTAAACAATTTTGTAAGTGAATACTAAGTCAAGAGATATTTAGTTAGGCAGATCAGTTATCTGAATTATATGATATTATTCTACTTCATCAACAACCAAACTGATTTTCATTACTCGATTTCGACACATCTAATTAAACTGGTATAATTTTTTTTACCGGTTGGACGTTCTGTTCTTCTAGTTTTTGTTTTTATTTATTTCTACACGATTACATGTTTCTCCTGAAAGAAAAGGACTGAACATTTCACATATAACAATGTTAAATTTCTGGCGACTGACATTGAGACAATCGGAGCTAAGAAGTAAGTGTCACGAGGTCTCACATGAGGCTGCATGAAAAAGTTGAATATTATAATGTTTAGACAATTCAAAATTCCTGGTCTGACCAACAATTATACTCTTATTAATGTGATCACCCGTACACGTGGCACCCGCTGGAAATTATTGGGAACATCATCCACTGGGTCCCACTCTCCCTCCTTCCTTCTTTCTGACCACCATGTTATTGTGCCTCGCTCACTACCCCATAAGCATACACCCTCCTGCCGTTATCACTGCATCCTACGGCCACCGTTAGTTTCACCGGTCTCTCTTCTCGTTCCTGTCGGTGGGGCCCACCCCTCCTCCTCTTTCCATCAAGTAGCCCTCTGCCACGTGTACGGGCCTTGATTTTGTACTCTTTTTTTGGGTCTCACTGATGAGATCTTGCAAATCCCAAATGATAAAAATAAAAGGTACAGCAACAGGGTGCTAAGTTCTGAGAGTGAAGCGGACGCTGCAGGGAACCAAGCTGTTCGTGGGGAAGTCTGGCTTCGGAATCAAAGAATCTTTTGAAGGAGGAGGAGGTGAAGACACTGGGCGCACCGAGTTTTCCTGTGGATTTCGCTCTGGTTGCATTATTGGGTGTGAGTTTTGTTCATTGTTTTCGACTTGCCTGGCTTTGCTTTATCCTGTACTTTCTTGTACTTGAATCTCGGTAGGGAAATGCGTCATCTTTTCTGGGTTTTTCTCATTCGTTTCGGAGATTTGGGCTAGTTTTCTCGCTTCTCTGTTGAATGAGAGAGAAGTCGGTGGTGCTGAATTTTGTAGCTTGGGAGACTTCGGCCTTTAGGGTGGTTCAGCTGGTTCCTTTTGATAAAATCGTCGTTCTTCTTTGCAAAATTGTGAAATTTGTATGCTTGACGGTCAGTGGGTGTTTGTCCAATTGAAAATTCAAATAATGGTTGTCTGTATAAGAGAGGTTTCGTCTATGCTAATCGATTTTTTTATTTGTAATCATTGCTCTCGCTGGTGACGTCTTGTGTGTATTTTCGAGATGTTATTTAGTATGCTTAATTCTTCTCCTTATTTCGCAGACCTGGTGAGCGGTCGTGATAAATATTTCTGATTATTCGTTGTGTTTTTGATGAACGATTGATTTCGTGATGTGAAAGAATTCTCAGGCCTGGAATCTTTAATGAGGTAACTGCTTAGGATACTTAATGATGAAGTACAGCTTGGCAATTTCAACATCGTCTTTTCATTTTCACTTAAACCAACTGGTATTATCTTAATTATACGCATGCTGATGTTGAATCAGCAAGTTTGATGCCTGTATTCTTTTATTCAACTCTCTTTCTAACAAGCATACAACCCATATTATTCTCAATGTATAAGACAAAACGTTCCTTTGATAATTATTTTTCTAGTTCGCATACAAGTAAAATGTCTTACATCAGCGCAACTAATTGGTAGTTCAATTATCTGTTTTGTTTTTGGTCAACCTTATTAATCAATTATTTGCTTTTTTTTTTTTTGGGGTCATCTTAGTCCATCAAATTTAAGGACCAAAAACTTGACAGGTTTGAGTGGTGGTCCATGACTTGTATTCCCTTGAAGTTGCTGTTCATCTGGATGTCATTTACTTCGACTCATTTTTTGATAAGTGATTTACGGCGAAACTGGACATGAGTAAGCTGGTGGGGACATGCTTGAACCGCGTGAATCTGATATACCTGCCCTGTTTGTGGTTTTAGTTGTACTTCCTTTGGTTGCTTATTTCTTACTTGGAAAATGGAGTGAGGCTGCGAAGAAGAGAGATAGAATATCTTTACTCGCACAACTGGCTGCTGAAGAAGCTAGCAGAGTAGAAGAAATGGCTATTTCTGATGTCATTCCTCCTATTTCTTCTACAAAGATTGGACATCATGCGTGTGCTAGTTGTTCGGCCCCGGCAAAAACCCGGTGCTCCAGATGCAAGACTGTTAGATATTGGTAATTTGTTTTCCTGATGTTCGTTGCAAAAGAAATTTTATTTTCTGGGGCCCCATAATATTTTCAGAAAGAAGTTTGAAGCTTGTCTGGAATTCATATTGATGAACACTTGTTTAAGGATGGTTGTCTGGGAACTAGTGAATTGCATCGCGAAAGTTCTTTGATAGTTTGCAACTGCTAAGCTTCACTAATGCATGGGAAAATTACCACTAGACTAGGAGATCACAGTTAAACAGTTCAAAAATAGGTTGCCTTTTCTCCTATTTGAATCTTCTCATTTGTGGTTCTTAGATTTGTGTTTCCCTTGAGCTTTCTGCTTTTTTGATCATTTTTCAAGTGTCTAAGAGATCAGAAATGGAATTAGGGAATTTAGAGGGGTTTTATTTATTTATTTATTCCCTTTTACTGTATTCGCTTCTATGCCTTTTATATAAGAAATCAACATGCACTTCCAAATCTCAAAGGAATGGATACAATACCCCTAGTCGATTAGAATTAAGAAAATTCTGTTCCTGTTGCTGCAAACATGCAATTACCAGAGAGATAAAGAAATAGAAAAAATTGATTGCTTACCCCTCCAGGAAACATGAATGATACATTATTTCATATTGTTAAATTCCATTTGATACTATATTTATGACATGTATTAAAGAATATTAAAAAATATATGGAAAAATAAATAATACACGATTCTCTCATGAATTTAATGCCTCTGTTATTTCTTCTTTGATTGAAGGGAGTTATTAGTTATTAAGCTTTCCTGACGTCGCCATAATGTATAAGATAGCTATTAGTATTTAGATTTGGTGAGCAATAGTAAACCTCCATGTTTGGGCATAAACAAATTTTATGTTTGATTTTCTGCTTGAAAAAATATTTAATTATTGTCATGTATGCAGAAAACATTCTTTTTTCTTTTCATCTTCAAATTATATTTCTCAAAACTTAAACTTCAAATTGGCTTGCAGCTCTGGGAATTGTCAAATAATTCATTGGAGGCAAGTTCACAAGCATGAATGTCAAATTTTGGAAACTCATAAATTAAACTCATCTCCTCTAGCTGTTTCAGTCGATGAATTCAGTCATGAGAGTGGCTTATGTTATGAAAATATGAACTCTCAGTTCTTTGCTCATAATTTGGTGAATGCTTTGAATGAGAACTCGCCTTCAGACAATTTGGTCCACCCTCCAATTGGCATCGTTTCTTCTGCTATGGGAAAGTGTGCTCTCTTTAATAATTCTCATGTCTCCACCCATGAGAGAAGAACTCCCCATAAATCCAATAGAGAATTGCGTAGAAAAAACAGTGAGACCACATATGATTCTTCTACTAATTCTTCTGGATGTAACGCCACCAGTCATCCCTCTTCCATTGTGGCATCAAAAGAGGTGTTTATGAGACAGAAGGTTTGCTTGTCTAACTGTTATTCCAATGGTATACATTTTCTTGATAATTTTTTTTTTGTCTAATTATCATGCTAAACTGTGCTGTAGTTAGAAAATAATGACTGTGCTGTCAAGGAAGATGAAAATTCTAAGGTTAATGCTAGTGAGGTCTATGTAAAGGAACAAAATCCCTCGAGGAGCATGATGCTTGAGGATGATAATTATCAAAATCAAATTGGACATGCTTTTAACACAAGAAACGATCAGGGATACTCAAGTTCATCAAATGTAGAAGTCATTGGTGAACTGTTAGATCAATTTCAAATAGATGATGCTACCAGTGGAGGACAAGTTGTCAAGGGGGTAAATCGTCCTGATGATGAAGTAGAACAAGCCAAATGCTCATCTGAAATGACAGTCAAAGGAAGCATAAAAGCTAAAAAATCAACCCACCCTCCCAAGACTAAATGTTCTAAATCAACATTGAAGGCATCAGTCGATTTATTTTGCTCAGAAATGGAGATGGAAGGGCAAACTGCTGACGAACCAAGTTAGTACAGAAGAACAGTATTTTCTTAGTTCACCATATTTTATGATTTTTTGTAATTCAAATTTGCTCTTGATCATGTGTGTGGTACTCTTCATTTGGCATTGTTTAATGATACCAAGTTCATGTTAAAAAGAAACCGCTATTCGTTATGCAGCAGTTTCAGGGATCAGGGACCCCATACCTTCACTGGGTAACAATGGAGCTGCAATCATGGGAATAAGGAAAATGATGGGTATGAGGAAATCAGCAAAACATACTGTGACGGCCATGAAGGCAAGTTTTCTTTGGATGTGTCCAAGTTTTAATTTCTTTAATCATTTTCGTTTATGAGAACATATTACCAAGGCCTTGACTTGGTAATAATTCCTTTCTAACTAGAGATTTTTTGATGCTTCAGATGCTGTTTCCTTATGACGAGTTTGTACAGTTTTTCCAGAGTGAAGTGTTTGGCATATACCCCAGGGGCCTTGTAAATTGTGGAAACAGGTATTGCTAGCATAATCCAACAAATCATAGAAATGTGAGGAAGATCAATGAAAATGATGATTACATGATAGAAAGATCAACTGTACTCTTTGTTGATATGAGGGAGCAGTATGATGTGATAAAATGCGTGACATATGACATTTCTAAATTTTACGGCATGGGTGAAGGGTTAGGGTGTGTGTGTGTGTTCAACAAATTAGTGCATTAAAAAGAAAACTGCATAAAATTTGAGTCTTAAGCAATGATATCAAATGTAAAATAAGATTTCCATAGAAATCTATCAATTTAAGTATAAAACAAACTAAAACTAGATTTTCCAATTTAAATTAAATGCCAATTTTCATCTCTATTTGCACTAGTAAAATTTTTCCATTAGCACTTCAACTATTTTGGAATGTAGCAAAATGTTTTGACAGAGTGATAAAAAAAAAAAAGGAAAAAAACAAAGTTGGTCAGGCGGATGCTTGAGTGCCATAGGCATATTTGATGCGATACAACTCATTCTTTTTAGTGTAATGATGCTTCAACCAGGCACGCAATCATTTGTGTTAGAAATTTGAGAGTTTGAAGAACTATTTTTTATTTTAATTGACAAAATGGTCCATATTCTGCATGGAGAAAATTTTGTGGGAATCTTTAAATTGAATCGATTTAAGATGTTGTGGGACAATGTTAAATTCCTTTATCTTTATTTTGCAGTTGCTATGCGAATGCTGTCTTGCAATGCTTAACTTGCACAAAGCCTCTTGTCGTCTATTTTCTTTGTAGATCACATTCAAAAGCCTGTATGTACATTCTTATTCTATCTTCAATTATTATAATTATAAATATAAATTACTTAAAAAAAAAAAGAAAAGTCATTTGCCTGGTAAATGTTTTTATTTTTAATCTTGTTTCCAGGTTGTACAAAAGATTGGTGTCTCATGTGTGAGCTAGAGCAACAGATAATGATTTTAAGAGAAAATGGGGGCCCTCTATCTCCTAGCAGGATACTTTGGCATATGAGGAGCATGAATTCCCAAATGGGTGATGGAAGTCAAGAAGATGCCCATGAATTTTTAAGGTCTGTTGGGATAAGATGGCCAATTTGTTTTTAGGATTAATATGTTCAAGGCATACTAGTTTTCATATCAAACATCTTTTTATACTTTTTTCAATAATTCTTTGATTTTTAGTCTTGTACTTTTGTTGACATAATTCTCTGTTCTGTACTAAAATATAATAATATAGGCTTCTAATTGCATCGATGCAATCTATATGCTTGGAGGGACTTGGTGGTGAGAAAAAGGTTGATCCTAGACTTCAAGAAACAACTTTTATACAACACACTTTTGGTGGTCGTCTTCAATCCAAGGTGTTTACTACACATTTATCTTTCTTATCAAGTTTCTATTCCCTCTGGTTGTAAGTTTTTATGGGCAGCTATGTTTTTACATGTCTGATGGCATTGCCATTTCGTGATTATAGGTGAAATGTTTGAATTGTAATCATGAATCAGAACGATATGAAAACATTATGGATCTAACACTGGAGATATTGGGTTGGGTCGAATCTTTGGAAGATGCCCTGACACAATTTACATCCCCTGAAGACTTGGATGGAGAAAATATGTACAAATGTGGAAGGTCTGACAATTTCATTTTTGTTTTTACTATTGCTTTGCACGTATCATAATTTAGTTGGATAAATGATATTGAAGAAAGAGAGGATAAAAAAGAAAGCAATGAGACTTTTAGATCTATCACTTTCAACTTTAGACACTCATCTGTCTTTTAACATTTGGAACAAGGTGCACTGCATATGTACGTGCCAGAAAGAAACTCAGTATACATGAAGCCCCAAACATCCTTACAATTGTCTTGAAAAGATTTCAGGTATCACATGAATATTGTTGGATCGTGCTTTAAATTGTATTCCTCTTCCATTCATCAAAAAATTACGTTTTTTGGTGTTCCATTCCTTAATGTTCGCTCTCAGACCCAGCCATTTGCCCTTTCTAAGATTTATTATTTATTATTTGGTGGAGCTTTCTTAATAAATATCTGATTGTAGCTAAATTCTTTCCTTTTCCTTGTTTTAACCCATTGCAATGTCTTGCTTTTGGTTCTGCATCATCAGGAAGGAAGATATGGAAAAATTAACAAGTGCATAACCTTTCCTGAAATGCTGGATATGATTCCTTTCATGACTGGAAAGGGGGATATTCCTCCACTTTACATGCTTTACGCTGTTGTTGTGCACCTGGACACACTAAATGCATCTTTCTCTGGACATTATGTTTCATATGTGAAAGATTTGCAAGGAAATTGGTTCAGGATAGATGATACTGAGGTAAGTCTGTTGCCTTATCTGCTCTCAGCATGTTGTGAGCGAATCTGTGTATTTGACTCCTTGTTATTGCACCGCATTTTTCTCCCCTCACTATTTTTCTTTTCCTTATATTCGTTTCATTCAAGTTTGGAAAGGGCATGAATTTATGAAAATCAATAAGTGAGTTCAGATTATTATGAACTTTCATGTTATACATTGTGTAGAGAAAATGAGGTGAGGTCTCCATAAAGCCATACATTAAAGTTTGATTTTGCTGAATGTACACAAGGGACATTGATAAGATCCTCCTTCATGGTTCTGCCTAGGAACTAAGTCTAGAACATGCCAAAGCCTGTTTTGCGTGGTAAATTTGAATTTTAAGCTGCTTAATTAATTATTTATTTACTGTTAGCCCGAAGCAAAGAGTAAATTTATCTTCTGAACTTAGAAAGGATATATTGTCAGAGCTGCCTAGGCTTTGTGCAGCGAGACTTGTGATGCCTTATTGTTTATCTATAGATGACGAGTTGCTCTGAATAATAAGATGTTATCAGAATTGATTCGGACGACTATCTTATGATGCTTTATAGTTCAGACCACTAAGCACATACCATCCTAGATGCGACTGTGACTCCTATCTTTTGGTGTCAGCTCAGGAATTATAAGTTTGTCGTTCAAAGAGAACCTAAGTCTTTGGCGTTAAATTATTTTGTGCGCGCGCGCACACGCACTAGTATATGCTTGTTAAATATGGCTCCATCTGAAGAAAAGCAAAAAACAACACACACTTTCTTCTATTATCATTGCCACTAATAATTTGCTTGCAGTTTCAAGTTTACTTGGGTTAATTCTCAGATTATTGTGCTCTATAAACAGGTTCAGCCGGTGCTAATCAGTCAAGTGATGTTAGAAGGAGCTTATATCTTATTTTACATGAGGTAGAGATTTTGTTACAAATTCGCAATGGTTTATAACCTTGCTTCCTCTTTATTTTCATCATGTAGGTACTTAATGTGCTTAAAATAGTTTGCTGGGTTATCTGATATTTTTTCATGTCTCAATTGGACAGAGTGCAATCCTGTTCTTTATATACGGGAATGAATTGCACTATTCACAGCCGGGAATAATATGACTCATTATAAATTATATATTTGATATTGATGCTCATTTCAACCTTCACCCGCACAATATTTCATAGGTCTAGTCCCCGCACTCAATCACCATTTTCCGGGAAGGTCGTACAGCAACAAGTTCCCAGCTCGTCGAAGCAATTCCCGGGAGAATCTCACAAGGCTTCTAAATCAGGACATAGAAGAGATAGCAGACAATTCATTGTGCCAGAGCCCTCACTTAATGCCAGGGCAGAAACCCGTACTCACTATATTGATGCCTCTAATGGCACCCTTCACAGTACCAATAGAAATTATTTGCCAGTGACAGAAACTTGCACTGAAAACATTGGCAGGGAGTTTTCAGATGCTACATCAAGTGATTGGTCGCTTTTCACGAGCTCAGATGAGGCCTCTTTCACAACTGAGAGTACTCGGGACTCCTTCAGTACTGTGGATTATGGTGATTCCTGCAATATTGATCAATTTTCATCTATCTTCAGTTACACCACAGAAAATTCCAGAAATTCTGTTTGTCACAGGAAGTTCTTACATAGTAGGCCATTAACCAGATTCGTTCCCCAGAGTGGCCAGGCACTTGACACCAACTTATCAAACAATCCTACATCTGACACCGATTCGTTGAGCCATCCTCTTGAGTGGGAACGGCGAATGAACCAGTCAAAAAGGGCCAGCCATTCTTCAATTGAACCTCCTTCTAGTGGCAACTGTGGTAGGTATGTATATTATGGGAGTACTAACCCCATTGCCAGGACTTACAGTCATTATGAGCCCTAGCTCTTGAAAATTCTGCAGGTTGTAGTTGTAGGTGCTATGCCTCAAAATTTTCAATATTTAGTTGATTGAGGCATATTAGCTCTTCTAAACATACCCTTCTTCTTCTTTTTTTTTTTTGGTTATTGAAAATTGTAAAGATGACAGTGACATTTCTTGGGCTTATCTGTTTCCTTGAAAGTCATTTCTTCATAAGCTTATTGGTTATCAGGCATGTCTAGGGCAAAATATGCTTATGGTGATGAGACAGTGAAATGTACAATCTTACAATGTTTCTAGTTGAGTAGTTTCTGTGGTTCTCCCTGATGATCATTATTCTTATACAATGCATTATAGGCTCACCAGTGGGATTAGACTTATTGTTGTCCTATAATGCATTATAGGAAGAAAATATAGTTACTTTTCTTTTCATTGATAATATTGATATTGATAGGACAACTTAAATCAGCCCCATGATCAATATTTATCGAAGTCTTGACCGCGAAACAATTTGCCACAAGGTGTAGTGATAAATGCAGATTATAATTTGCCAGCATACTATTGATGTAGTGATGAATGCAGATTAGGCAAATTGACCAGCATACTATTAAAAATAAATATTTACTAAAATACTATAAATTCAAAAATATTTAGCAGAATGTTATAAATTAAAAATCGGTTCTAATGATAACTAGGCCTAGTTCATGTTTGATTTTTAATAACATCCAGTTTTGTACAATTAATATAAAAAAAATTGTGTGGCAAGTGTGATAAGATTGGTTTGCATCCCTAAGGGCTAACATCTCCTCCCCCTCTCCCCCCCCCCCAAAAAAAAAAAATAGTCCTCTCTATCAAGCTCAAGCATCTCCTTTTATCTCATATATATTTTCTTTAGGTTTATTTATAAATTATTTTTATTAACATCATCAATATTAATATAACAAAAGTATAAGAAATAAAAATAAGTGAAATTACAAACCTAACCCTCAAGTAAAATTTAAAATATAAATAAAATATATAATATTTTTTGTCTCTTTTTTCAAGGGTAATTTAAGAATTTCAATTTGAAACAAAATAATCATATCAACTAATGATGTATAAAGTAGATCAAATAGTACTTTGAAAAGGCATCATATATATATGACCAGAGGGAGTATAATATAGAGTAATATCTAGATATTATATACAGTAGATAGAATATATATATATATTTATATATTTACATTTTATAATTTTTAAATAAATAACCTTTTAAATATAATTGTAAAGATATCGAAATAATATATGTATTTAAAATTAAGACTGAAACTGAAAAACTATAAAATATCTTAACATGAAATTTAAATAGAATGTTTTAAAATATTTTCAGGAATTATACAAGGTTTTTCAGAAATTAGTGTTATCATTTTTTAAATTTCTGATAAAATAATGAGTTCTTTTAAGAGAATGAAAAGACTTAAATATATTAAACTTTGTTATTAGATAAAAGTTGCACTTTGCCATTTACTAAGTTAGGCGTTCACAACCTTTTTTTTCACCATTTTTCTTAAATTAGCAAAGTGTAATAATCTTTTTTATTTACAATTTTAGCTTTAAAATTTATAAGTCTAGTTTAATAAATGACTAAAATGGTTTATGCATTTACAACTTTCTCTCAACATTATTTTTCATTCTTTAAAATTAAAGAGTTTTTTTATTTTATTAAATACTTTAATGACAATTAGGTCTCTTAGAATTTATAAGATATTACCATATTTCATGGGATTAAATTATTATTATTTATTTTAGAGATATTTATTTATCATTCTTCCTATTATTTATCTCATAGCAAACTGTTATTATTAATATTAAATATATAATATTAAGTACACAAATCTTTTCATTTTCTTAAAAGCATCTCATTATTTTATCATAGATTTTTTTTTCAAAAAAATGATTGCACTGATTTCTGAAAAACTTTGTATAATTCCTGGGAAAAAATTAAAACATTCTATTTAAATTTCATGATAAAATATAAATATCCATTTTATAATTTATCAGATTTAATTTTAAATTTAAATGCATATATATATATATATATAATTCATTTCAACATACTTACAATTATATTTAAAAGGTAAATTATTTAAAAATTATAAAATGTAAATATATAATTTTTTTTATATATTATATATAATATCTATATATTACTCTATATTATATTCATGAAATATGGAGAGCTGCTTGAGCTTGTAAGAGAGGACACGTGGTTAATTTTTTTTCTGGGGGGAGAGGAAGAGATGATATTTAGCCTCAACGATATAGAGATAATGGTAATCAATTTTGTCACATTTGACATATGAATTTTTGTTTATATTAATCGTTCGAAACACAGTGTTACACAGCCCAAATTTTGTTCTTCTCACGCTCAAAAAATAAAATATGAACTTAATGTCATGGACACCGATTTTCAATTTACAATATCTTGATGAATATTTTTAAATTTGTAATATTTTGATAAATAAGTTTCTTTTTCCTATAATTTGCTGGTCAATTTACATGCAGATTACGTTTTGCCAAATTTGCAATCAGTGTCTCCTTTCTCTTTGTTAAAAAATGATTGCCGTTTCTAAAGCGATTTTAAAAAAAAAAAAATTCGTCACGTTTATGTCTCTTGAAATTTTGAAAAGATACTTTTTTCTTGAATATTGCTGTCCAAACCAAATTCGGCTAGGGTGCCACTGTCGTCAGCCGGCATTGGTCAAATTTAGGAACCTCATAATTTTTCTTATGTTGTTAATTTTCACATGCTTATGATTGAGGGTTGGCTTCACGTGTCCATTAAAAAAACTAATATTTTGGACATATTTTAAATTACTTTCAACATAAAATTCTTTATTTTTTCAATATTTTTTTTATCAAGCCGCGGTCTTTTAAAGACTTTTTTTTCAATGTTTTCTTTTCTTAAATAAAATCATCTTTGGATGATTCAGATTAAACAATAAATTACCTTCACTTCAATATTTCAAATATTCATGTCAATATTTCATATTACTTACTCCATTCCTCTAGAATATTTAACGGGAAAACAAGACTCTAGGACTACTCATAATTAATCAATTATAAACAATCATGAGTTTCTGTTTGAGGCATATTTTCTTTGCCATTTTCTTAATTAAATGAGGCGTATTTTCTAATAGTTGGCTTTGCGACTTGTTCTGGCAAAAAAAAAAAAAAACGAAGAAAGAAAGAAAAACTGTGACTTGTGAATCACTCGTGGCAACTGGTAACAATATATAAATATGATTTAATAGTATTATATATCAAATAATTCAATAAAAATAAATTTTATTATATGGTCAAATTTATGAGGGTTAAATGTAATGCTTGTTATGAGTGTGTGTATAAGAAGTAAATCACTTATTAAATATTGATTTATGAACCATTAATTCCGACAAAGAGATGGAGATGCTATCAATTATGAATTACAGTACTAAATAATGAATGTGGACACGATACAATCCTTGATGCATTACCAATGGTACCATCCCAGTTAATTTTGCCCAAAAATAAATATCAAATAATTTCTTTCTTATTGTTGGCCAAAAAAATTTATTTCTCATTTGACCAAATAAGGATATTCTGCAATTAAATTAAGAAATTCTGGGGCAAAAATCGAAAGTGAGATACCTCTTGGATGTCATGATATTATCCTCAGATCTGCAATTTTTTCAATTTTGTACAATTGCTAATTAAAATAGCAAAAATCAAATGAAGGTTAAGCGATCTTGTTTACAACTTTTTTTTTTTACCTATATAATGAAGATGAACACATAATAATAAAATGAGCAAGGAATCAGAGGAACAGTCGTATCACATTGAATTTGAATTGAATTTAGAATGTTTTGTCATCAATCTACGTTGACAGAAGTGTTATAGTTATCTTCTTCTTCATCAGTTCATAACTTCATATACCTTTAGGACTTTGTTCTTCGTGCATTCCCTTCCTCTTCGTCTGCTTGGTACGCCATGGATGAGCCGACGCAAAGGTCGGAACCAACCTCCGACGGTGCCGGAAGAAGTTACTGGCGGTGGAGCAAGCACGATCTTTTCCCGGGAGACTCATTCCATAGTCTCCAATCCTATCGGAGGGCGTTATCGGAGACATGCCCTCGTCTCGTGGACCGCCTCACCAACCGCTCCACAGATGACTACGAGCTCCTCCAGCTACCCAAGGAGAGCGAGAACGACATGAGGAAGTGCCTCACTTGGTGGGACTTGATGTGGCTCAGTTTCGGTGCCGTCGTCGGCTCCGGCATCTTCATCATCACCGGCCAAGAAGCACATGATCATGCGGGACCAGCAATTGTCTTATCTTACGCTGCTTCCGGCCTCTCCGCGTTGCTCTCCGCTTTCTGCTACACCGAATTCGCCGTCGAAATCCCTGTCGCCGGAGGTTCGTTTTCTTTCCTACGTATCGAATTGGGTGATTTTGTTGCCTTTATTGCTGCTGGAAACATTTTCTTAGAGGCTCTTGTAGGTGCTGCTGGATTGGGTCGGTCTTGGACATCGTATTTTTCTACTATGATCAAAGACGACCCTGATTTTCTACGAATTCGAGTGGGTTCTTTCAAAGAAGGGTTTAACATGTTAGATCCTTTGGCTGTTGTAGTGCTTTTACTTGCTAATGGTATTGCTGTCTCTGGAACAAGAAGGACTTCCATATTGAATTGGATTAGTTCTGTGGCTACTACATTTATAATTGGGTTTATAATCGTGGTTGCATTTATTCATGCCAAGATTTCAAACTTAGTACCTTTTGCCCCAGACGGGGCAAAAGGAGTTTTTGAGGCTGCAGCAGTTGTGTTCTGGTCCTACACTGGTTTTGACATGGTGGCAACCATGGCCGAAGAAACAAAGAAGCCTTCAAGGGATATACCAGTGGGTTTGATTGGCTCAATGACTATGATTACTGTGATATACTGTGTAATGGCTTTGGCACTCACAATGATGCAGAAATACACTGAGATAGATAGGGATGCTGCCTATTCTGTTGCCTTTGTGAGCATTGGCATGAATTGGGCTAAGTATCTCGTGAGTATAAGTGCATTGAAGGGAATGACCACAAGCTTGCTTGCTGGATCTCTAGGGCAAGCTAGATACACGACTCAGATTGCAAGATCCCACATGATCCCACCCTTGTTTGCTCGTGTTCACCCAAGAACTGGAACCCCTGTGAATGCTACTCTTTTGATTACCATAGGCAGTGCAATTATTGCCTTTTTCTCTAGTTTGGATGTTTTGTCTAGTGTTTTCTCTTTCAGCACCCTGTTCATTTTTATGCTTATGGTTGTTGCTTTACTGGTGAGGAGATACTATATCAGGGATAGAACATCAAGGAATGATTTGATCAAACTTGTTGTGCTCTTGTGTGTTGTTATTGGTTCTTCTGCTGTTGGAACTGCGCTTTGGAGCTCAGATAAGCTAGGATGGGTTGGTTATTCAGTAGCTGCTATTGTCTGGTTTGTGGCAACATTGGTAATGGCTTCCGTTCCGAAAAAGCGAACTCCGAAGGTTTGGGGTGTTCCACTGGTTCCATGGCTGCCTTCACTGTCCATTGCAATGAACGTTTTTCTGTTGGGATCATTAGGTTCTGTGGCATTCTGGAGGTTTTTGATTTGCTCTGCAGTAATGCTTCTATATTATTTATTCATTGGTGTTCATACAACCTATGATCTTGCACATGAGAATGAACCAGGATCAAAATACGAACAGGGAAATGATGAGAAAAATGGAGAGGTCTTGTAAAAAGTTTCAATTCTGTGATATTGGGAATGTTTGAGTGGCGTGATTATATTGTTTTTATTACACAGCCTCTGCAACCCAAATAGAGTTTTCTGTGTAAGATGTGGAACAATTTAACCTGCTCAGTCATGGAATCAAATTAGTTCAGATTTGCATTTTGTATTTCTTGAGGTGAAGGGGTTTCTTTGGTCGTTAACACATAACCTTGTGTCCTGATTCCACAGTAGATGGGTAATTTTATTGTTCTAATAGTAGCAGCTAGAGACCAGTGTTCCACAGTTCTGTAGCAGACTAGCGGCATTTCCGAATAGAAAAATTCAGTTACGCCTGCAAATGTTAGATGTCTGCTAATAAGTTCCTTAATAAAATTAAATTGCTTTTAAAAGAGTCAACATTATGGTGAAGCCTTACAAAGGAATGTTCACATGTTTTCATCCTTGCCCAACACACAGACAGAATAACGCTTTCAGCGCCAACTGTGTTTAGTTTCACTTCATAATCAACAGAAATAAAACGCCCCACTCTGAAACGCTGTCAAACTTTGCAGCAGACAATCACAAAGAAACTGATCCACTGTCAAACTTTAGATTGCCGCGTAATGAATGAGAATACAACTCAATTCCATCCTCTTTTTCTATTTTGGAATCTCACCCATCATGCTCTGCCCCCAATTTATACTCTACACAGAAATCAGCCCATTGAAGACAATTTCAAGATGTTGAAATTATCCGCTTTTTCTATTAATTGGTGCATGATCAAGTAAATTCCAACCAATCAACCAGATTCAGTAAGCTTAACCCAGGATCCGAGTTTACCTCTCTACTTATGTCCAGTCGTTTTGAGAAACCTCGAATGATTTTTTTCACTGTCATATTACAACGAATGACTCTACAACAACTTACAAGTAACTCATGTAGATAAGTAGATTTTAGCAAACCTAAAATTTTCTCATAATGCTCACATGAGCCTAGGATTCCCACACAAGCTTTGCCCAAAACTTAATACAATAGTGGATGGCATCAAATTTGAATACAGACAGTAGAGTGGTTGTGTTTGCGCTCTTCAATCTGCAATTGACACTTTCCTCATATAATTTGTTCATCTTTAATTGTTTGGCCTTTGCTTGATCTTCGTTTTTTACTTCTTTCCTAAATCCTTGATCATCGTAATCATTTTTCTTTACCACTTCATTTTGCGTTGAATCTGATCAGGAATAAATACACTTAATTTGAATTTACTATTATTATTTCTTTCCAGAAACGTCAACCTTTATCACACGTGCTCATAGGAAAGTACTACTATATTGCGATGATGCAACGAATATTAATTTTTTGGCTAGCTAAAAATTAAACAATGTCTGGTATATGCTCTCACAATTTTTTTTAATCCATGGCTTTATATATATTCTCCTTCAATTTTTATCCCCACATTTTTCCGCACAATTTAAACATCAAAAGAAGACGGATGATTTTTGAGAATCTTTTAATTTAAGGTTGTATTACTGCATTTCTTTAATTTATATGAGAGGAGATATCCAGCAGCAATCTCTAAAAGCGTTAACAATATATGATATCATTAACTTCAAAATTTTAATTAAAAAACTTTAAATTTTTTAATTGAAATCATATTTTGAGTATGAAAGGAGTTTTATATTGATAGAAAGTGGTAAAGTTTAAACTATTGAAGTTATATAAACCTAAACGATGTCATATAAATAAGAAATATGGATTTCTTGTAGAAATCCAAAACTTAGAGACAAACAACGGACAAGTTGGTTAGTGATTTTATGTGTACGTGGTTTGATTCATAATCAATTAATGTTGTGATTTGTTAGACATAGCAATCGAAATTGGTTTATGGGTCTAATTAAGCACAGACGCCAGTTCTGTTGGCCTTTGCCTTTAGTGGTGGTGTGAGGCTATTATCTTCCATTGTACACCTCTTATCCTCACACACTAACCTGTGGATAATGCTGAAATTAACAATTAATTAATCAGTTATCATGATTGAGAATTAGGCGAAGGCATGCTTAATGCTCTAATTCAGTTGTTCTTATCAGTGGGCCTACCAGTTTAATTGTTTCAAGGCCGAAGGGAAATTAATGATGATCCTCAGATTCTATTTTTCCTATCATCTAAAAGATGACTTTTAGTTTTAGTTCTCACTTCTCATGCTGATTATTAACAAGCCCACTATACGATGCACATGTTTATCTCAGCTCCAAAACAGGAAAACTTCAACAGCGACATGATTACCAAAAAATCTCAATCATTTACTCCTGAGTTTGGCATATTAATGATGGTTTGAAGATCAAAGAAGCTGTTGGGTCTAGTCAAGGAGATATTAGCACGAACTTGCACTTTGTGTGAACCACCTATTTCTGAACTCCAAGCTTGTAAGGTTGGTTGGATTGAACGGATAATACATATCTGAGTGATCAATTCATGTGTAGTTGCGTCTTGGTCCAGGCTCTTCATATCTTATGGTTTTTAGAGTGTTGTGATCATTTCTACTTGGAATTTTTTGCAGGGGAAATAATAGTACTCTCTCGTGATTCGTGAAAAGCAAATTAATGGAATCATTTATATCGACTTGATGGTTTGTCTTTTTAGATTAAGACATGGTGTCAAGGTTCAGAATATGATTATTATCTAACCTTGTGGGGAAAATCTTAGCTTCCTTAATTTTACAAACGAGATTTTTGGATCGCACTTCCTGAAGACAAATATAAATCAACCATGAAAATATTCCCATTCACTCCACTAGAAGTGTTCTTTTTTTTTTTTTGGCGTAAAATTAGATTTCACTTTTATGTAAATATAGAGTGATTTTGTTTTTAGTTTTTTTCAATAAGATCATGTTTGGTCTGGTGGATTGATTCTGAGATAAAAGGAGATGAGGGAACGTCATATACAGTTCCTCTATTTGAGAGAAGCATTAATTCTTTAGAATTTTAATTATCGTGTTTGTGTATTAATATTAATTAAGATGGAGATTCTCCCTCGTTCTTCCTTTTATTTTTTCTTCACTCATACCAAACATGACCTTTCGAGAATCTCCAGATTTTCACAATTTATTTGAGATTCAAATAATTCTGATTACAACATAAATTCATACAACTCAAATTACATTTATTCATAAACACACGCATATGTAATTTATGTGAGTTTTTGAGAGACTTCTATCTATTTATGCTCAATATCTTGAGAGAAATTATCTTTATTATCAGCGTAACCTACTCTTTATATTTAAAAAATTATGTCAGCTGTTAAAATTGGGAGCACAAAAAATGCAAGTCATTACTAATTATTTGATAGAATTACATTAAAAATCTCAAGCTTAAAAAGGAAAGATACATTTTTTGGATGGATCTAATTAAAAATTGAAAATAATTACAAATGCCTTTTTCATTTTGAATTTTGAAAATTGAAATAAAATTTATTTTAACCTTTTCTTTTTTCTTTTTTTTAATCCCGAAATAACACTCCCAACTGGCCAAAATAAAGATAAGTTAATTAAAAAGACAAACTTGTCATATCACATTCCATTTTTACCCCAACTAACATTATCACTAATTAAATACTTTCATATTATACTAAAACGTGGTCAAAAAGCTATTTTTGGAATAACTCACCAAATGCTACATAAAACAAGGAGATATATAGGATAGGATCGGGTGTAGGAGCATGGATGATGGCAATTGTGAGGAGTGAATGATTGAGTGTGGTATAAACATTTTGTGTATCAGGACACAGTGAAACATGTTGCGGCGTGGAAAGTGAAATATACATATGTATGTATGTATGTATGTATGCACTGTGGGGAGAAAACATAATGTACAAGAGACTGCATCTTCTTGTGATAGATCATAGATCATGTGGTCTCTTTCTGCCGCTGTGTAGCCGTCCCAGCTCCCACACTTCAGATCCTCACATGCCTTGCTTCTTCCCCCCCCCCCCTTAATTCCCAATTAGGGCCCATCTCGTTCGGGTCGGATTATATAAATGTAAAACCTTTTCATAATCGATTTTCTCTCTACACAAGATTTAAACTCAAGATCTCATCCAAAAATATAAATCCCCAATGATCAATTGCATTGTTGTGTGAGGATGAGAAGAGAAAGATAAGAAGGAGGTGGCTATAGATTAGCCATTGATTAAAATCGATCTCCCGCAAGAGATTGAAGTGGTGGTCCATGAAATTGTCGTTTATATTATTGGTTTTGCCTTAATTTTGGATCTTTATTTGTCTCTGTGTGGTTCACGTGTTGAAATTGTCGACAAACAATAGTATCAATAGGAGCGCGCATGCACTGTGCATTAGACTTTATGATGAGATTTGTGATATCCATAACCATCTCATCCCTTTGGTAATTTAATTTGCTTCTATAAGAGCTCTCGTGTTTAAATGATTATAACCCTTCAGTTAGAATCAACCCTTATAAACACATGTCAATTCTCTCTTGTACCATATGTACATATAATATTTGTAAGAAAAACAGTGCCTGTAGCCTGGCGGTAGAAGTTACATCATATACATTATACACATTTCAAGTTTCTCGTGACAACATATAAATACATTTATTATAGGGAAAACATTGAATTAGAATGAATAAAGATAAGGTTGAATTTTAAATAATATATATATATATATATATATATAAAAAAGCAATGATGGTGTTAATAACACGTGAAATATTTGGGAAAGATCAAAGCGCGTAGAATGGTCGTCCATGGATTGATGGTGGAATATTGGAGATAGATAAGTAAAAAAACAAAATTGGGGGAATGATAAGGTGATGGGAGGTGATGTGACCGATTAATATTTGAAGGATCGCACAGTAGAAAACGTGGGCGTTGATAAATTATGGCTGCTCCCAACACTCGCCACGCGCCTTCCTCCTCCACCCTTCTTCGTGCTTCCACTATTCGTCTTCATTATGGCCCCTTCACAATATTTCTTTGATTTGGATTTTATTAGTGGCATTACTTCACTCCTTCAAATCATATACTCTATATTTTTCTTCAAAAATTTATAATAATTCTCACATATCATAATACTCCTCACATATATTGTCCTTTTAAAAAATTAATTTAAGATTTGATAATTTTTTATATCATATAACAAAATATTTAATAACTGTCCAATAAATTAAATAGT